TTGAGTAGAGAGAAAAGGAAAGTGAGAAAGCAAGCCACCAGGTTCGGCACTTGAACAATGGTCAGACATGTGGGAGTCCAACACCTCAACCACCATGCCACTTGCCGGCCACACAGAGCTTGATGTTTTAAGGTTTTCAATACTTACACAGGAATTCAACAAGTTCATGGAAAAATGAAAGTACAATATGAGGTTATTTGGGTACAAGAAGATATTCAAAATCTATGCGTAGTTTTTTCCTAATACTCATTTTCTGCGAATTTTTTGAAGACACCCCATATTGTTGACTTGTTTCAAGACAGCTGCACCCACAGCCAGACTGGTCAGCCAGGAGAGCTGACCTGACAGTGTCTCACTGTGTTAAGCTCCGTCTTTCTGGAGCATCTTGTGTGGGTGTCTGGATAGCTGCCAAGGGAGACCTGAAATAAAAATGACGACCAGTCCGTGCCCTCGAGGTTAATTTTCTTATACATGAAGCAAAACCAGCAAACAGGAAATTGTTGAGAAGAAGCAAAGATCATGCATGGGACTTGAGCACATGGGACATTCTGTCAAGGGAGAAAGGGAGGAATCGCCTGGGGCCTTAGGCCCTGGGGAAGAGGCAAACACCTGCCTTGGTGAGGAGGGGAAGAGGCCTTGCACTCTCTCCAGGTAAAGGCAGCGGGGACTGTCTCTGTTCACAGATGGCTGCATCTCCCATACAGGCACACACCCAGTGTCCCTCACCCGCCAGCCTGCGAGCGTCCCATCTCCCTAGTGCCCCCGAGAGGGCTGTGCACTGACAGCAGACATCGCTGTGAAGGCCAGGCAGCTGCCGGACTGCCATACTCTCCCTCCCCGTCAGCCCATTCACCACCTTCATCCCACACTAACCGGGGTGCTTCAAGTCCTCGGAGTCCTGCCTCTGGTCCTATAGACTGAGCCAGAGAAAGTTAATCATTAAAATGTGGGCGAATGACTTTACTGGATTATTCTCAGAACAATCCCCATTTGACGGGAGGACTGGAACTGACTACCCTGGCACAAGCATTGTCCTGCTGAGACCAGCTCCCAGGGTTGGTAGGGTTGGTACTTAAACAATTCCTTTGTCCTGGTTCATCCCCAGAGGGCATGTGTGCTGACCAGAGAAGACAGACAGAAAGAGAGAGGTAGGGAGAAAGCCCCCTCCAATGGGGCATGGTCATGCTGCAATCCCGTCTCCTCCATTTAACCCTCCTGTGGGGTCTTGGGCACACAAGCACACAACCCAGTGTGTTTCTCAAGCTGCCAAGGCTAGGATTTGAACTGCTGTCAGCCATGTGGGATTAGCTCCCTTAACCACTAGGCTATGGGTCTGACCCCTTCCTGGTTCTTGAATTGCCACCAAAGGCTGTGCTCATCATATGTCCCCTTTCTTTGGTCTGGGGCTGGCTTTCAGAGCTTAGGGAGTCAAAGTGTGGGTGTTCAAGTCCTAGAAAGGCAGAGGAGCCTCTCTGGGGACTTCACCCCAACACTCACCACCCAGATAAAGTGTTCTTGGCTGTAAGACTCGTCTCTCCATGGCCAAGGAGATAGTTCAGAGCTGGGGCCCTGGTGATGGCAGCTCTGAACGGACTACACCGACAGAGGTTACCAAGACTTGCCTGTCGGTCCTGGAGCAAAGGTCAGGCTCTGATATTAGGGGAGCTTCAAGTCAAACGGGTGATTTCAGGAGTTAGCTCTCTCTTTGCTCACAGGGCTCTCCTTGTCCCCACAGGACGTCGTCCTTTATTGCCTCCAGAAAGACAGCGAGGATGTGAACCACCGTGACAATGCTGGCTACACAGCCCTGCACGAGGCCTGTTCCCGCGGCTGGACCGACATCCTGAACATCCTCCTGGAACACGGGGCCAACGTGAACTGCAGCGCACAGGATGGCACAAGGCAAGGAGGCCGCTTCCCCCCGGGTGCCATCCTCACCCCCAGTTTGGACCTTGGCAGCACTCAGGCTCCCAGTTGCAGAGAGGCCTAGTCGGGAGGCATTTCTGAAAGGCGTCTATAAACGGGCAGGGCCGAGGGAGATCCAGCTACGGGCAGGGGCAGACGAGTCCCTGAAGGGCTGGTCTGCACTGGTTACTCGGGGGAGGCTGGCGTTGTATAGGGATCATCTCATCACATGCAGCTGTCACCAGGAAGGCCCGTCAGGCCTCCCGCTCATGGTCCTGCTCAAGCACCTGTCTCAGGCAGAATCTGGGACTTTAGGAACTGGGAGGCCGACCTTAGGGTAGCATTCCACATTTGACATTTTAAATTTGACCTCTATATCCATTTTAAAAATATACCTGCTGTGTCTTAGAGAATTGTACTGTTTCTTTGTTCTACCAGAGGGCCTACTTCTGGGTAGAGAGAGACATAAACTGCATACCAAGTAGGGGGACCTGGGCTAGGAGGTGCAGGCTCTGCTTGCCCACTGCCTGGCCACCTCCTGCTGTGTGGAGCTCTCCGCTCATCCCTGCTCTTGGGCAATCACCTGGCTCCTTCATTCTTCCCTCCCTCCGTATGTTTTAACTTTATCCTCGGTGAGGGACCCATTCTCTGCTGAACTCCAGAACTACATTGTGCCCTTGGGACTGTCCCAAGATGTAGGGGAAGTATAAGAGGGAAAATAATAGGAACGAGGAAAAAGAGGTCCGGAGAGAGGAGAAGGGGACGTGGTAGTGTGGAGCTGTAGGCCAAAGGTGCTCCCCTGCTCCAGCTGTTAACCCAGATTCCACTGGGGTGACCCCGGGGCCATCCCAGTTTTCCCTGCTGAGGCAGCCTGAAACTTAGACATCCGAGTTCCTACTCGGGCCCTGTTATCCTCATCCTGTATCCCACCCCGCAGGCCAGTTCATGATGCAGTGGTCAACGACAACCTGGAGACCATCTGGCTTCTGCTGTCCTATGGGGCTGATCCCACGCTGGCCACCTACTCGGGTCAGACGGCCATGAAGCTGGCCAGCAGTGACACCATGAAGCGCTTTCTCAGTGGTAAGCATGGCCCAGACAATTCTGGGCAGATCCTCTTCTCCCTCCACCTCAAATAACTCCCATGAGGGGCTTCTGGCCTCTTCACATGCTTCCCTCAAGTGCCTTAGAAATCTCTGTCTACTTGAAAAAGCCTAAAGGTCTATTTTCTCTCGTCCCCTTGCTGTGAGTGTCCACGTTGCATCCTCTTGGGAGCCCCAGCAGCTGCCCGCAGGGACCCATTTCCCAGCTAGGTGTATGAGCTACGTTGTGGGCCCATGGCCCGACTGGTGCATCTTAGCGGGGTCAAAATGTGTTGACCTGTGCTTTGAACGGTTTGTCCATAGTAAAGAAGTGACACTTAGCATTTTGCTTTTGTTTTCCTAAGTCTGTTTGTGCTTGAAGCAGAACCCCTGAGACCCTTTCTTTACCCTCACAGCCCTTACCTGTGGGAACTGTGACGTTCCCTCTACATCCTCCTCCTTTCCTTTCCTTCACCTTCCTCCCTTACCTGCACCTTCTAGAAAAGCGTCTAGTGTTCAGGCCCATGGCAAGGGCCACAAGCCAACATGCATTTATTTTCTCATTAGTGGATAGCAGCTGTTTGTCTGCAGTTAGATAGCTCCACTGAGTTGGGCAGGCAGGAGGAGGGAAGGCGGGGAGTCTAGCTTGGGCATGCTCAGTAGGAATCTCCTCAGACTTGACCTCCGAATAAAGGAACCCCGCCTCTTAGTGACATCACAGCTTGGCCCTTGCTCCAGCAGTGACTTCTTCAGAATGCCTGAGCGACAGCGCAGCTGAGAGTTGTATCTCTGACCGTCCTCAAAGGCTTCAGTGTCCGGTAGAACCCCTGTGGGACTAGGAGCCGACAGGCCAAGGCTTTGCCCGGGACCACTCCTTCCTCTACCCAAGGCTTTGGCTCTAGTTAGTTCTGAACTCCCACCCCACTAGACATACAGTCTGGGCTCCTGACCAGGGGCTCATTTGTTTATTGAACAAAGGCTAATGGCACTGGTGGTGAAGGAGGACACAAAGGAGTGAAAGGTGTGATGGAAGGAGGGTTAGGTGGGGAGTACCAGCTTTACGCTAATCAAGCTGGGGCAGGGGAGGTAGTAGAGGCCGCTGAGGAGGATCTGGGCTTCTGCTCGGCCACCTTCTCCAGGACTAAACCCTGGAGGACAAACCACAGGCCCTCACAGCCAGAGGCAGGAGGGCTACCTTTTCTGTTTGTCCAACTCCAAGCTCCAGGCTCCCAGGCCTCTGTCATTGAGGGGCAGAGCAGCTTGGATATGTCATTCTCAAATGATAGTCATTTGGGACAGTCATCTGTCCCAGGCCAGTGGTGACTGTTGTCCCTTCAGCCAAGCCATCCCTGGGGGATGTAATGCTGGGACCAGCCACCCTTCGTGGTCTACATCCCCTGCACGTGCAGTTCCTCTTAGACACACATATACATGTCGCCTGCACTCTGTTCCCAGGACAGTCTGGTACAGGAGAGTGTTCAGAACATCTCAGTATTGTAAGGGTACCTCGTGAGGCTCTGTCTCTGACAAACTGGTGTCTTCCAGAGGCCTCTTTGGGCTAGAGACTGCCCTGCTGCTGAGGGTCTTGGGCTCTCTGCGCCCAAGCAAAGTCATCATTGACCACCGTAGTACGCACATGAATCTTCTTCCCAGCCCCTTCACCACACCCCAAAGGAGTGGGAATGGTGAAATCATTTTAAGTAGTTAAAAAAGTAGAAAGAAGCATGTTTTCGTCTCTTCTTCTGTCAGCTCATTCCAATCACTAGTCAGCCTTTTTGACATCTCTTTAAAGTGACTGCAGTGCCAGTCTGTGTTGCAGAACTCAGAGAAAGCCGTGGGTTTTGTTGTTGTTGGTGGTGGTTGTTGTCATTTGTTTTTCCTGTAGGACACATGCACTTTGCAGAGAGAGAGAGAGAGGCAAGAAAAATCACCCCTCATGGGGTATGGCCACACTGCAGTCCATTCTACTCCTGTCTCCTCTGAGGATTTTGGGCATGCACACACACCTGCCTGGTGTGATTTTCGAGGCACCAGTTCAGGACTCAGCCATGCAGTTGACCATGTGGGATCCAGCACCTTAACCTCCACACCACTTGCTGGCCAAACTTAACTCTGTCACTTCCTAGCCTGTTCAGGCTGAGCGCCTTCATTCAGATATATATATATATATTTTAAATGATAGATGGTACAGGAGACAGGGGCATTCCTCCTGCCCCGGCCTCCCAGTCAGCCAGGGCCACAGGCAAATGCCACTGTACCTGGCCTGTCCAGGGCCGTGAGCCAAACCCAGGCCTCCGATAAGGCCCTAGCCTTTGCACAGTGGCTCCTTCCTCCTCACACCATGGAGCTGACTTAACAATGGGGGTCAGGAGCCAATGGAACATTATAAACTGGGCCATTTCTTTTCTCTGCAAAAGCAGAGCTCTGTCTAGGTGTTAGCGAAAGTTCTAACATGCCAGGCTAAGACTTTGGCAGGACACCCCAGGGAGGCGAGCACACCCCAACTAGGCTCCCAGGAAGGAGGACACTTGAGCCCAAGGGCTGTTTTGGGGGGATAAGAGGACATTGTTTAGGGACTTTTTTTTTTTTCAGAAAAGAGATTAAATTCACGTGATATAACCACATACTTCTTTTTTAAAGTTTATTTATTTTATGAGTAAAAGAGAGGAAAATAGAGATATGGCACCCCTCCACACACATGGTCCTGACATTGCTATCTGTCCTCGGCTTTAGCCAGCCCAGATCATGGGCACACGTGAGCCCAGCCCACTCCGGGGGACTTCTCCGGACTTACACCTGCAACACTTCCCACCCAGGATCGCCTCACTAGGTATTGCATTTTATTGCTACACCACCGTCAGCCCCATGAGCATTGTTTTTAGATTTGTTTTTCATTGCCAGAGGGCACATGTGCTTGAGAGAGAGAGAAGGGACGGAAAGAGAGCATGCACATCCCCCAGTGGGGCACAATCATGCCACAATCTTTTTATTTATTTATTTTTTTTTACTATAGAGATCATGTACTTGCTGAAAATAGAGTGTGAATTACAGAACAACAGAAAAAGTGAAAAAGCACCCCCAGGGGGGATGGGCATGCCACAATCCCTTCTCCCTCATTCCCTCTCAGGATTTTGGGTGTGCATGCAAACACGCCTGGTGTTTTGTTCTGTTTTGTTTTGAGAGGTTTTTGCTATCGGGCACGTGCACTCGCCAGAAAGACAGAGAGAGACAGAGAGATAGAAAGCGAAAAATCACCCCCCAGGGGGGATGGCCACGCTGCAATCCCTTCTCCTCTATTCTCCTCTCGGGATCTTGGACATGCACGCACACGCGCCTGGCGTGAGTTTAAGCCACCGGGTCCAGGACTCAAATTGTAGTTGACTACATGGGAGTCCAGCGACATAGCCATTACACCAACTGCTGGTCCCACACCTGGTGTTTTTTTTGAAGGCGTTGGGTCTGGGCCTCGAACTGTGCAGTCACCTATGTGAGATCCAGAGCCTTAACCTCCTGGCCTTACCAAATGCTTTTGCCTGCATTGCTCTATCCCATGAAGATCACACACACACACACACGCACCCGTGGGTCTTCCATGCCGTCAGGGCCAGACACGTGGGATCACTCTGCTATGGGGGCAGCGCAAGCCCTGTAACCATTTTCAGGTGAACAGCTGAGTGGCGTTTAGTACATCCATCATGAAGGGCTATCTTGATCCCTTCAACTGAGTCCTAGTCTTTCTTCATCCCTATATATCTCCCCACCATATTTCCAGGAACCACCAGGTAGGGAGCTCCTGAGGTTCGAGGCTAGGGAAGCCTTTCCTTCCGCCACCCACCTCCATGGATACATTTGCATGGACTTCTGGGTTGTTCTCTTTTACCTCATCTATTGAGCTGAAGTATTTAAAAAAGCTTTTTGCTTTTCATCCCCAACTATTTGCCTGAGGAGACTTTCTGTACATTAATTGGTTCATCCTCCCCCCAGTGGAGGTCCCCCTGGGCAGGAAATGAAGGCAAATCCCAGTAGGGGGCAAAGGGCTCCATTTTCTATAGGCAGAAAAGGTGAGTGAGAGCATCAGGGTGGTGCCTCTTGTAGAGCTTCCTTGGCTTTGTGCGAGGCCCCTGTTCGGGAAGAGCTGTCAACGAATCAAATCCTCCTCTAAGTACACAAAGCAATGCCACTGTTTACAGGTACCCTGTTGTGAAGCCCTTTGTAAAACAGAAGGTACTAAATTCATCTGGGTTGTAAATGTGGATTTTCTTATACTCAGTTGGCCTACAGTGAGGCCATTTCTCCTGAGACCCTGAAGGACGCAGTGGCATTCCTCAGTTGTCTGTTCCTCCATCCATTTGTGGAGCACCTGTTAGATTGCAGGTGTTGTACTGAGTACTGGAGACCAGACAGTAGACACTTCCTACCTTGTTCTCGGGCTCCAAAAGGCCTCCCCCTTGGGCCAAACTGCCCTCAAGACATGCGACTGGTTTGAGAAAAGAACAATATCCACGATAACCAAAGGAAAATAAGACTGTCTTTCCTCCTCCCTCAGGAAGAATGCGGGAGTTGGGGGAGTTGTGTCTGTCAGTTTGGGGCATCAGAGGAAGTACTGAGACTGCTTTTCCTCCCCTCAATGGAAGGGGGCTCGCCTTGTCGTGATCTGCTGCCTCAGCCTCCCAGCTGGGATTGCAGTTGCATGCCACCATGCCTGACTCTTTTTCAGACAGGGTGTCCCTGTGTTACCCAAGCCAGCATCAAGTCATGATCCTATGTCTCATTCTCCCTGAATCACTGGAATTATGGACCCATGCCACTGCCCAGACTTTAGGTTGGATTAGGAATCGAACTCGGACCGCCCATGTGGTCCCAGCCTGTGGAGCACAGTGTCTTAGCACACACCACTGAGGGTGGAACTCATGAGGCCTCAATGGTGCTCTATAAAAAAGTGTATTGAATGTATAGTGATATAATGTAAAAACAATTAATTTAAAAATAAATAAATAAATT